CAGTAATGCAACGCATGCTTTATTGTTCTGAATGTATAACGTATTGTCTTATTTATCTTATATATCACCATATTTTCCATTTCTTGTAATTTTTATCGAGTATTTCGATTCCTAAATTCAGCTCTTTTCAATTCTTTTCTTTGGAAAAGAAATGACAAAAGCCACCAAAAACCCTAAATTATATCCACCGTGACACGTTTACTCTAAACTTTTTTTCATGACACCAAAAATCTCAAATTTGTACGTGTGTGACACATTGGGGTCAAAGTTCTGTCAATGAACATTGTTAAAAATTTGCATATATAGATGCCGGAAAGCAAATAGTGTCACCATAGCGCCCGTGTGATTTAAGTGAAATAAAAACGTTGTCATTTTGATCGAAAAATCATCTAATGGAACATTGACAAAGGGTAAATATGTCACATAGGTACATGTTTGCAACTTTTTTGCAAGAATTAAACTTCATATCAAAGAAGGGCTGGACCAACCACGCCGAGCCCGACACGAGCGGCCAATCCTAGCCACACGCACGTCGCCTTGTGTCCAAAAACCTATCAACACACAATTGTGGACGTCCGTGGAGAGTAGTCCGAGTCTAAATGTTCTCGGAAGATTAGTGTGAACTAGGAAGCCGGGGAGGTGAGCGCCGTGCATTCAATAATCATCAAACAACAGCGATGGACCGTTTAATAGCGAGTTTGTCTATTTCAACGAGTGCGGTGATGTCACAACTTACGCTCCATGTTACCTTTATTTCATCATATGGACCCGCCTTTTGGTAATTTTAGCTACTACTTCGTGAGCTTTTTGGACCGAGTAAGAAATGCAAGCGGGTCATTACAAGTTTGATATATTAACCGTGTTCTTACGTCTTGGCCCCGGATGCATCATCAATTCAGTTCTGGTGAACCATCCACCTACTTTCTCCTCCACTTCCTTCCAAAATATATTGGTTAATTCATCTCTCATCGCGACGAGGTGAGAAATATTGGCTTATGTTCACATTCCTTGGTATTTTTTGCGGGATTAGCATATCTAATAATTAAATCGTGCATTCATTTAATAGGTTAAGTTTTTAGAACGGATGGTTGTGATCCCATCAAATTTTACATGGTATCGGAGTCGAAGGTGTCAACTTCAAATCTTCTCTGAACAGTCGGGAATTGCCCTTGCAAAATTCTATGGGAATAAAAAAGAGCTAAAATGTGCGGATATTCTTGTACACACTGCCTTCTTGACAGCGTGTCCAACTCCAACAGCGCAAGCCAAAGCTTCTAGAAAAGTCAAAGCAACTACAGCCTTCGCTCACTTGAAGGTCCCGACTACAAATCACCATTTCACGTTCAAAAGAATACCAAAGAACGAGATCCATATGAAAAGGTAATGATGCTTTTACACGAGGAAGGCCATCAACAAGAGCTTTGTAGACAAGTTAGAGGTTTGGTGTAAGGCTGCGGTCCCAGCAAGTGCAGACAAAGGTCGACTCAACCATTTTCTTGAAGTTACGCGCAGAAGAACAGTCTCCTGAGAAAAAACGGAGAGTGTTTCCTTTCCTCTTAGGTAGGAACTCAGAATAGTTGACGGTGACAATGTATACTGCACATGTTCGGTCAGAACCTACGAAAGCAAAACAAGAAAAAGTGAACTTGCAATGTACGAAATGTCAATGTACAGATTTGAGGGATTTCCATCTGATTGAGTTGGAAAACTCGAGTATCCGCGTGCACGAAGTTTCCCTTCATTTTTCTTGTTATCTGCTCCTTAAAAACTGGCTGGGAATGCAGCTGATATCGTATGCGGGACCCATGATCATCGACAGTTTAAGTAGTCTTAATCCATGTGATCTAACGATCAGACAATATTGTTTTTGATGAGGTATAAAGCGAGAGTGGCAGTGGGAAACCAAAAGCTCAATGGCGGTTTTGCAGTTGGAAAGAAGTTTCGCTCCCCCGACTCCATCGCCAGACGATAAGAAGAAGTTATATCCGCGTTTCAAACATTAAGACAGGACAGAAACACAAGTGAGGAAGCAGCCCGACCTTCCTCGGTTAAGTTTCCCGAGGTCAGTCGCTTCTGGAAAGTGTTGGGTGATTTAAAAGAAACAAAGTATTCTATACGGGAATGACCCGGATACTCGCATTTCTCGAATTTCAAACTTCAAAATAAAAGGGGCAATCGTCCATCGCTTCGGCGAAGCGGGAGAATATATTCGGCTAAATCATACCGCACTAGTAATAGACACAATATCGTTGTCGCGCTTGAGGTCCTCCACATGAGACGAGGAAGTCAAGCTCCCTCTAGATGCAAGGACAAAGTGGAATTCCACGTACAAGATGTGAAAGAAGGCATGCGATGAGATACGTGTGCCGATGTTGTACTCCACTGCTTATAGCCGAAGTGATGGACTAACGATGTCGACATAACAAGATTAGAGGGTTGCTAAAATCTTTAGAAGTTTTTTTTGCAAGTTTTCAGTTGTGCAACGCATTCTTTATCGTTCTGAATGTATAATGTATTGTCTTATCTATCTTAAATATTACTACGATTTCTATTTCTTGTAATTGTTATCGAGTATTTCAATATATAAATTCAATTCTTTGGAAAAATTAATTACAAAAGTTACAAAAAATCCTAAATTATATCCACTGTGACACATTTACCATAAATTTTTCTATGTGACACCAATATTCAAAATTTGTACCCGTATGACATATTTACCCTCCGTCAAAATTCTGTAAATAAAATCGTTAAAAATCTGTCTACATGGATGTCGTAAAAGCAAACAGTGTTGACATAACATCCGCAGATAAAACTTTTTTTTTGCTGAAAAATCATCAAACGAAAGTTTGATAAAGGGTAATGTACCATACAGGTAGAAGTTTGGGGTTTTTTATTCCGCAAGAAAAGGTTTAGGGTTTTTTATTCCGCAAGAAAAAGTTTAGGGTAAACGTGTCACAGTGAGCATAATTTGAGATTTTTTTTGTCAAAAGGTATTTAAGATATTTGTGTCGCAGTAGGCATAGTTTGGAGGTTTTTTATGACCTTTTTTTTTTATCAAAAAGTTAAACTTCAAATTATAGAAGGGCCGGGCGATCCACGCCGAGCGCGATACGGGTGGCCAATCCTGGCCACACGCTCATCGCCTCGCGTCAAAAAAACCAATTGGATACTCAGTTATGTGCGTCCCGTGGAGATTGGTCGGAGTCAAATGTTCTCAGATACGTGTGAATGGGGGGAGGCGAGCGCCGTGCATTCAATAATCAATATTTTCTACAGCAACGGACCCATTCAATAGCGAGTTTTGTCCATTTTAAACAAGTGCTGTGCCGGGGACGTACGTCACAACTTACGCTCCACGTTACGTTTATTTTATTTCATCGATTCGCCTCGTTGCTGCCGCATCGCCCCCACGTTGTTTCCGCAGCGCGTGAGCACTCAACTCACACCTTCCCAGTACCCCCTCACGCTCGTCTGTACCCCGCCATGTGCTAAATTTTAGCTCTACTTCGCGAGCTTTTTGGACCGAGTAAGAAAAATGCAATCGTGTTCTTAGGTCTTGGCCTCGGATGGCATCATCCATTCAATTCTGGCGAACCCTCCTCCTACTTTCTCCTCCGCATCCTTCCGAAATATATCGGTCAGTTTCATCTCCCGTCGTGACGGGGCGAGAGATATTGGCCCGATTCCGCGTTCCTTAGCGTGTTCCGCGGGAATTGATTCGCGGGTCGCATTAAGAAAGCAGAGTATGTCGGCATTAGCAAGAGAAATGCGTGGGTGACGGCCTTTAATTTATTGTGACAATAAGAGTCTGTTCTGAACCACAAAAAAATAATAAAAAGATAAATAATTATAAATTGTTGTTGGGCTCCCCTCCTTCAAGAATTTATGGCTCACAATATGCCGTTACGCTCACGATAACTTAAAGACTATTGTGCTAACAAAATCTATATAGTAATTAAGTCATATTTTCATTAAATAGTTTAGGTTTTAAGGATCAATGATAGCGAGATCCATAAAATTTTACATGGAATTGAGGTCGAATGCCCATTCCTAGGGGTGAGCGGTTCCTAGTCCGGTCCGGTCCAACCCAAGAACCGGGAACCGAACCGGGAGGACCAGTTTCCAGTTTCTAGGACCGGTGGGACCGTGGACCGGACTGGACCGATGGTCCGATCCGATTCCAATGGAACCAATATTAAATATTATTTGTGAACTGGGAACCGATTGTTCCATTCTTTCCTTTGTAGTTCTGATTTGATCCCATAGGGCCATGGAAAAAAATTGGAAAATATATATAATATATGGAAAAATTGAACAATCGGTTCCAATGGGATCAATGTTAAATATTTTTCATATATATTATATATTATATATATATGAAAAAATTAGAAAAATATATATTTATCGGTCCGGTTCCTACTCTAGAACCGGGAATCAGACCGCTCGAAAACCGGTTTCACTTTTAGGAATCGGGAATCGGATCGATATTTCCGAGAACCGTACCAAATCAGTCGATCCGGTCCGGTCCGATCCCGATTTGGACAGTCCATCTTGCGCACTCCTAGGTGAGGACGTTCCGACTTCATGTATTTTCCCAACGGTTGGAATTGCACTAGCAAAATTCTATGGGCATAAAAAAAGAGATAAAATGTCCGGAACTTCTTGTACACCACACGCCTTTCTGACTGCGTGGTTAACTTCCCACAGCGCGAGCGAAACCTTCCAGAAAAGTCAAAGCAACTACCGCCTCCCCCGTTCACTCGTGACGACTTCCCAGTTTCACACACTGTCCGAGCACGCGGCCACACGCTATACTCGCTCCTCCCTTTGGCGGCGGCTGGCATTGCCACGTTTGCCCCTTCGTGGTCACGCGACCTCCCCTGCTTACTCCCCAAGAAAACCCCGAGGGCCTTTTCGACGCTTCACTTGCAGCGTAAAGCGAACAGGTCATCCCCCTTCTCTATATATAAGACCAACACCGCACCCCATGCTGTCATATACAAACCAGAAAGAAGGAACCAGAAAGAACAGCAGACAAGTTCGATTTCACATTTCTCTAACTGCAGCAGACATGGTGAAGAGAGACAGAGAGGACACGGAGGTCGAGGCCCTCGCCATGGCCAACTGCTTGATGCTCCTCTCCCGTGTCGGCGAGAGCACCGACCCATCGTCCTGGCCGATGAACCGCAAGTCGCGTTCCGGGGAGCGGATGTTCGCGTGCAAGACGTGCAACCGGGAGTTCTCGTCCTTCCAGGCGCTGGGAGGGCACAGGGCCAGCCACAAGAAGCCGAAGGTGATCTCCGGCGACCTCTTCCACCTCGGCCGCTCGGGGGAGTCGTCGCCGGCCAAGCCGAAGACGCACGAGTGCTCGATATGCGGCCTCGAGTTCCCAATCGGCCAAGCCCTCGGCGGTCACATGAGGAGGCACAGGGCCGCCATCGCTGAGGCGGCTACAAAGCCTGTGCCGGTGTTGAAGAAATCGAACAGCAAGAGGGTCATGTGCTTGGATTTGAACTCGTCGCTGACGGAGGACGACTTGACCTTGCGTTTAGGAAAGGTTGCGCCGCCCTTGGTGCTAGATCTCGTTTTGTAGGGGCTTAGAGAACGTAGATTGTGTACAAAGCAGTTTCTAGTGGGTGCGGACAGTTTTCTTATCTTTCTTCGAATTCATTGATTTATATTTCGAATCATAGTCACTGTATTTTGGCATGGATATTCTCCTTTGTTACATGAACAAAATAATATGTTTGAACGAGATGAGTGAGAGGATGATCACTTTCTGCAATCAACGTAACGACTTGATTGAACCAATTTGACGAGTTTTAGGATTTGTTTGCATTTTTTGAGAGTTTTAGGACTTAATTACACTTTTTAAAAAGTTTTAACACTTAATTGTACTTTCGTGAAAAGTTTTAGATAATTCCATGTTAGTTCCGGTTCAAAGACCAACCAACATTTGAAAATGGGTATTGAAATATTAAAATATTAATCGCGTTGTTATCTAATAGTTTAAGTTTTTGAAACGGTTGAAATTGCCTCCACCACGTAATATGTAAATCCGGTCCTATCTTTCCCGGCTTGTTGCGATGTCAATTGATATGATCTATTAGAACGAGTTTAGCCACTGCAAGACCTCTGTCATGCATTAATCCCATTGGAAACATGTGATAACTTGAAATCTACCTTGTATTAAGATTTCCAGGGAGCTTAAGATTGGAAGTTTGGAACAAATGCACAATCTTTGACATCATATTTTCTTCCCCTTGTTTTGAGCTTTCAAACCTTTCTTCTGTTCTATATTTTTAATACTTGGGCTGCCAGTTGAGCATCCAAGTCTTTACATTTGTCAACTTGGTTCCACAAAGGCAAGCTTGCACCAGCCCACGACCATTTTCACGTGTATCTTACACGAACATTAAGCTTAAGGAAAACTCGTTCTCCTAATCCTTTAGGCTTCTCTTTCTGCGAAACTGCTGCGAGTTAATGCCCTTTCCTGAAGCTACATAAGAAAAGTAAGGCTCAACGTTTCGACTGGTCCAAGTATACATCCAGAGGAAAACCCGTTCTTTTCCATCTAGAACTTGTCAAACACGGTTTGGATGCAAACTACAGAGCGCGCATTATTTCCAAAGGTAGTCTATTATGTAATAGATAAAGTTTTCACGCAACGCAGTACGTCCGACGATAATTAAAATGTATCAACCCTGTATTATGTGTAACATGCATGCTGAAATATCTGCCGCTCGTGGGTTGACTTGCTTCAGATAATTAAAATTTGTTCCATGAGATCTTGGACTTGGGCATTCATCAAAACTGGAAGAATGTGAAAGCACAACCGCGATAATCACCAAAAAAAAGTCTTAAATCTATTGTACGGATGCCAATTTAGTCATAAACTTTTCTATTTGACCAATTTAGTCCTAAACCTTTTTACGATTTGCCAATATAATCCTAAACCTTTTAATGATTTTTCCTTTTTCTTTTTTTTCTTAATTCCCTCCACTAGTCACTGGCCACAGGTGAGCGCTGACGAGGGTCGCCTGGAGAGGGCCACCTTCACGAGATTCTGCGAGGGCCGCAATGTCCTCGCCGACCCTCACTGAGGCCCTAGCAACCTACAGAGGGAATTAGGAAAAAAGAGATAAAAGGAAAAAAAAAGGGAAAAAAAGAGAGAAAAAATTCATAAAATTTAAAAAATAATTTGCAAGTTCGTCTATGTCAGTGCCGGCTGTGCCACGTAGGACGACGGACGTTTACGTTAGCGATTGCCGGCCAAAATTGGCCAAAAAGATTATGTTGGCAAATCGTCAAAAGACTTGGGACTGAATTAGCCAAATTGAAAATTGAGGGTTGAATTGGCATCCTTACAATAGGTTTATGATTGTTTTAATAATTTTCCTAGCACAACGTGGTATGAAGCTGCCATAGGTAGTGGGCACAAAGCATCGGCTGTGATATAGACTCACTTTCATTACTTTCATGTTGATGAACGTCATGCCACCCCTTGCGCCCCTTTTTTACGGTGATCTCGTTTTAATGGATCAGACGTGTTGCTAAAAGCGGCAAATGCTTTCATCAAATGGGCACTCCGACATAGACACATAAGAAGTATCGATTCTTAATGGTACTTATAAATTGATTGAGGTGATCAATGGGCGAGCCCAAGACAGCTCATTGGTCGAGCCTAATTTGTTCCCATGCGTGCCTGCAGCAGAGAATTTATAGGGAAAATTGTCCAAAAAGTCTTAAACCTATTGTAAATTCGCCAATTTAGTCATGAACTTTTCAATTTTACCAATTGAGTCATAAAACTTTTGAAAATTTACCAATTAAGTCCAAATTGGCCGAAATTCACTGACGTGGATGCCAGCCGTGCCACATAGTACGGCGGGTCCTGACGTCTATAAATTTTAATAATATTTTGAATTTTTTAATAATTTTGTTCCTTTTTTTTTTTTTCTCTTTACCTTCTTTAATTTGTTTTTACTGTGGCCAGGGAGGGCCCGACAGCCCTCACCGGCCGCTAGCGAGGGCCGCCGACACTCGCCATGGCCTCACAAGTCGCAGGCGAGGCCACCTTCGCTCGCGGCAGCGAGGGTCGCACAACCCTCTGGGCGGTGTTGAGGTTGCAATTGTCATGATGGCCTTCGCGACCTTAGTACCGCCCAGAGGGTCGCATGACCCTTGCGGCCACGGGCGAGGCTAGTCGAGGGCCCTACAACCTTTGTCGGCATCGCCCAGTGGCCGGCGAGGCTTGCTGGGCCCTCCTTAGCCACAGTAAAAAAAAAATTAAAGAAGGAAAAGAGAAAAAAATGTAAAAATGAAAAAAGAAAAGAAAAAGAAAAATTATTTAAAAATTCAAATAATTGTTAAATATTATTAAAATTTGTCAAACATAATAAGGCTAAACTGGATAAAACATGCATGGGCACAAAGAGAGGTGCGTTAAGTTTAGAGCAAGAAAACCTCACATGTCATCTGCACTTTCTCCGAAAGCTAGAACTAGAAGTCACTCCCGTTGAATAATAGACATTACTCTACCATTCTACGTTCAAAAGAACACCAAAAAACGAGATCCATATGAAAAAGTTACATGCTTTTACGCGAGGAAGGCCATATGAGAACCAAACAAAAAAAGTTCAAGTCGCTGTCAGAGAGAGAGAGAGGAGCAAGTTGAAGGTTCGGTGTTAGGAGGCGCTCGCAGCAAGTGCATGCAAAGGTCATACCATCATCCTTCTTGAAGTTACGCGCAGAAGAACAGTCTCCTGAGAAAAAAACACAAGAGCGTTTCCTTTCCTCTTAAGTAGGGACTCAATAAAAGACGAAAACATTACAGGTGACCGACCCAATGTACTGCACATGTGCGACCAGAACTTAGCAGAAACAAAATCAAAAAGTGACTTACAATGCATTATGGTCCATGTACAGATTTGAGGGATTCCATCTGATTGATCTGTCCAGAGGCATTCGCGTGCACGAACTTTCCATATTATTGTTCTCTTTTTCCGCTCCTCAAAGAGTGTGACTAGGAATGCATTGCCACGAGCCACGAGCTGATATTCTACGTGGGATGTGGGATCCATATCATCTGATACTTTAGCAGACTAAATCCAAGTGATCGAACGGTCGTACAATATGGTTTTGACGAGGTATGAAGTGATAGTGGCAGTGGGAAACCAAACGCTCACAAGGCGGTTTGGCAGTTGGAAAGAAGTTTCGCCCCCCGCGCCCCCCTCCATGACCAAGACAATAAAAACTTTGTGTCCGCGTTTCAAACAAGAAGACTAGAAGAAAGGAACCCGAGTGAGGAAGCAGCACAACATCCCTTGGTTAAGTTTCCTAAGCTCAGTCGCTTGTGGAAAGTGTTGGGTAACTGGGAGCAAAAAAATATTTTACACGGCGATAACTCATGATATTCGAATTTCAAAATTCAAAATAAAAGGGCAATCATCACTTTCGATAAGTGGGGAAATTTAATCGGTTGAATCATACCACATCAGTGGCACCCATAAAAATCGTTGATACACTAGATTTTTTTTGTAGAATTCCAAAATTTATGGTCAAGTGATTAAGCACTTTCTTTTTTTATCGTGATTATGCTTGTTTTAGATGCAATGGAGCTCTAATTCAAATTACAACTCGCCTATTGAGAATAATTTAGAAGGTCGCATCTAGGCCAGGCACCGTGCTAGGCACAACCTGGTTCGCATTTTTGTACGGTTCTTGAAATGTGAATGCTGAAATTGTTAAAATGGGTCATGATGGGCTATTTACATAACCCATATTTAACACCCGTTCACTGGCTAGTTGGAGGTTGTCGGTCACCGCCGATTGCATCCGTCGTCGCTGGTCGCCGCCGTCCATCGGTCGCTGCCGTCCATCGGTTGTCGCTGGTTGCCAGACGTAGCTGTCCACCACCTGTTGCCAATCGCCGGACACCGCCGTCCCCCTTGGTCATCGCCGATCACCACCGATTGTTGGTCGTCGCTAGTCACTGCTGGTCGTTGTAGGTTGCCGGTCATCTCTAGCCACTGCCGATCGCCGTCGTCTATCATTGGTGAATCATAAACCATATTGCATATTAAACCAAAATTTAGGTATAATTCATATTATTATCCCTATCCTATTCGACGTGCAAATTATGTAGATCTATGGGGATTAACCGGAGTCAAAAGGATCTCGTGAATCGGGAAGCTAGTGAGCCGTGCTTTCATTTTTCCTAGAAATAGACCATTAATTTCAAGTGTGTCTACTTATAATAAGCAAATGACGTCACAACTCACGCTCCACATTTCCTCTATCGCATCGCTCCGCCATGCCGCTGTCGCGTCACGTCCCCAATGACTGCCTGCCCTCACTAAACGTCGTCCTGATCTGCGGGGATCGTTCCCATGGTGGCGCATTGCCCATGTTCTTTCAATAGCGCGTGCGTGCTGCTTCCCAGTACCCCACCCTCGTACCGTATGGACCCGCCTTTTGGGATTTTTAGCCACTTCACGAGCTTTCTCGGACCGAGCAAGGAATGCTAGCCGGTTATTACAAGTTTGACATGATGACCGTGTGTCTTAGGTCTTGGCCTCGGATGCCTCGTCAAATTCGGATGAACCCTCCTCCCACTTTCTCCACCTCCTTCCGAATGTATTGGTTAGTTTTCATCCTTGTTGCATCGGGTTTGACAAATCGCTGGCCTGATCTTGTATTCCCATAATGTATATCATTGAAATCGATCGGTGAGTTCCATTGAAAAAGTGGAGTAC